CCTTGTCTTTCTCCCACCGAGAGGCTGGGAGTTTGAACCATCAACTCTGCTGTTAGCGGCCCAATGTCTAACACACGGCATCACCCGGGCCCCTTATTGCCACTCTAAAACTATTTGGTTCTTTAATTTGCAAATTAATCAGAAGTTCTAATATTGTCTGTATGCATACCCCAGTGGGGATTGTGTGTGCTTGTTTGGGAGGCACATATGGTTGATCTTCAAAACACGTATCATCTGACCCCTATTCACCTCTTTGCTCTGTTTTCTCTCCACCTGCTCCTAGTGCTTGGGTCAAATGGAACAATTTGAACTTTAAGGTCCCCAAACATGCAGGTTTCTGCTTTGTATTTGCTGTTCTCTATTTGGAATGTTTTCTCTTGCCTTGGCGTCTGAAAGTCCCAAGTTCCCCTGCCTTATTTATTTGTAAGAGTCACTCACAAGCACCTGCTCTGCTGGGAAGGTGGTACCTACTCCTTTTGCCTTCATAACCCACTGACACCCATCCGGACACCTTTCTCTTCACGGTCGTGCACAGCAGTTAGGGATCTGCCTCTCTCCTTAGGGTGTCAACGCTCTGAAGACAGGGCCGACTATTTATTTCCCAGTCCCCAGTGCCTGATCCACAACCAAAGACAGGAATAAGAGGAAACAGGGAATATCAAAAAGTTTGTGGGAAAAATTCCGTTCTCCACCCCCACCTCCCGAAACTTCTTGAGACCTCATTGTAATTTCTTAGTTCAAAGCTCTGCCAGGAGGCACCGTGGTGAACTGCTTGACCGCAGTTCCAGTCTACCAGCGGCCCCATGGGAGAAACATGTGACATCACAGCCTTGGAGACCCGACGGGGCAGTTCTACTCTTTCCTACAAGGTTACCGAGTCAGAGTGGAATCAACTCTGTGGCAAAAGGTTAATCTGTCAGGCATGGCCCCAGGTAATTTCCTAACCCAGCAAGGAAGGCACAGTTATCAGCCGTTGTTTGTGAAAGAGGACTCTAAGGCACATGTGGTTATTTGCCTCCAAGTTGGTTCTGATTCATAGTGACCCTCTATGTACAACAGAAAGAAGCCCTACCCGGTCCTGCACGCCCCTCACAATTGTTCTTAGGCTTGAGTCCATCGGCGCAGCCACTGTGTCAGTCCATCTGGTCAAGGGTCTTCCTCTCTTTCAGCGCCCCTCTCCTTTACCAAGCAGGATGTCCTTTTCAGGGACTGGTCTCTTACGATAAGTATGTCCAAAGTACATGAGACAAAGTCTTGCCATCCTTCCTTCTCAGAAGTAGTCTAGTTGTACTTCTCCCAAGACAGTTCTTTAGGCACATGGAGGTTTAGAATAACTTCCCAAGCCCTTCTATGAAGTTCAGGAAATCCTGAACTAAACTGAACTCCCTGCCACTGCGTTGAAACTGAAGTGCGTGATTTCAACCACGCCTAGAGCGAGGGAGTTAAGAGCCACCAGGCTGAGATGAGCAAGAAAGTGCTCAGACTGAGGAAGACCACAAGGTGTGGGCAAAGGCACAAAGGCCTGCAGTCATTACTGCTAGTCTGAGCCTGTGCTGACCCCTGCTGGCCAACTCGGCCATCCCTGTAAATTTCCTTTCTCCTTCAGTGTCCTTGAAGGGGATTGGGGCCAGCAATGCCTTTCTATTTAGGTCTCTAATTTGAGGATAAGCATAAGGTATTCTAAAGGAGAAAGGGGCTCAGAAGATCACACAGGGATTATCCAAAGGTGTCCCTTTGAGCTACACATCCCAATGACGGTTTCTCTTGTAGGGAATGATGGAATGAAACCATTCACAGAACCTAACTGGGAGGATGTTCAGATGACCCCAACCCGTTTGGCCCTGTGTAACGCTGTACATTCCACAGCTTGCCCAATGAACTAACCTACAGAATATGAGATACAGCCACCGGATGCTGCAATACATATATCTCAGATATTTCCTATAATGAATCTGTTTCTTCTTTCCTGGTGGTGCCTTGGGAACACAAGTGGACTACTAACCACAAGGTTGATGGTTCAAAACCACCAGCCACTTCAAGGGATAATGATGTGGCCACCTGCCCTGGAAAATATTTACCGCCTTGGAAGGCGATTCAGAATGGACTCAAGGGCGGTGGTTTTCCTTCCTGATAATCTGTTTCAAGGGTCCTCAAACTTTTTAAGCAGGGGCCAGTTCACTGTCCCTCAGACCCGTTGGAGGGCCGGACTATAGTTAAAAAAAAAAACTATGAACAAATTGCTATGCACACTGCACATATCTTATTTTGAAGTTAAAGAAAACAAACGGGGCAAAACACCCGGCGGGCCGCATGTGGCCCACGGGCCGTAGTTTGAGGACGCCTGATCTGTTTCTTTTAAGCCATTGCCTCCTGGGATAACAGATTATAACCAGACCTGGTCCACCAAAAATGCACTGAAAAGACCCTGAGACAACAGAACTTTGGTCGAGGAACAAAAAAAATCCAGGGAAAGAGATCACCAAACCAACACGGATAACATTCAGCAAGATAACAGATAGCAAGGGGTCTGACAAGGCACTTCCTGGCTAAGAAACAACCCTGCCTCAATGAAGATCCATGACCTTCCTCAGAAAGCTGTTACCTATCCATTCACTCCTCCGTCTCCTTTCCTTGGCAATTCTAGTCTCAGCTCACTCACCAATGGCAGGCTTTCCCCTTTCCTCCAGTCTCGGTCTGTTTCTCCTCTGTGCCAATTGAGGCCTGCGTTGGTAACACCGTCTTCGTTTTTCAGTGCTGCCACAACAAAGTGCCATCAAGTGGGTGGCTGCAAAGACAGGAGTTTTATCTTCACGCCGTTATGGAGGTTAGAAGTTTGAACCGGGCTGTTGGCAGGGCTATTCTCTCTGCGTGCACTAGAGGGAGACCTTTCTGTTCGCTTCCGTTTCTGTCACCTGTTCCCCTCCAATGTTTCTGGGCGTTCCTGGTCTCGCCGCCAGATTCTCACAGGCTGCCTTCCTGTGCGGTGACTGACTGTCTGCACTCTGCTTTTATCAAGCACTCATATAGGATTATAAGGTTAAAACAGGTAAGATTAACATTAGGACCCACACTACTCTAATACTACCTACCTGGTAATATCTTCGAAGAAAGACCCCATTTCCCCAAAGAGGGTCGCAGGTACAGGCATGGGAATTAGGGCTTCAACATATCTTTCTGAAGGACACAATTCCATCCATAACTAATGGTAAAACTGTCCTCAAACCCGTCACACACACACACACACCACAAGAGAAATGTTCATTAAAATATTTTTTAGACAAGTGTTTGGACCTTACATTAGGTTCTCCTTTAGGATGGAAATTTCCATACTACCCTATTGACCGTAGGTCGTCGTTGAGCGTGGGGGCCTTTCCGGAGCTAGCCTACGCCAGGTGCTCAAGGGAGCCACCTGAGGCTCACGTTTCGAGGACCTTTCTTTCCCTGGGAGACGGAAGCCACGCCTCTCGGGTTTCGAGCAGCCACGCCC